TGGAGAAGAGACCAGATTTCCTCCTGTTTTAGTTGAATTCAGACAGACTTTGGGAGATAGTGGAGGATAGAAAGGCCTGGCATGCCATGTTCCATGGGATCACAAAGAATTGAACACGACTAGACAACAACTGCCCCAACTGCCCTAGTATGTTACTAGGTACTTAGATAAATGATGAATCAGTTTTTAATGTGTGTCTGCCAGTACTACTGGATGGTGAAGGAAAAATAAAGGATTGGTCAACACAGGTGAGTCTTTGCCAAGGAAGGCTCCTTACTCATGGTAAGAGTTCTTAGAGATCACCAAGTCCAACCCTCTCACCTGCCAGATGAGGAAACTGAGGCCTCAAAAGATCAAACGACTTGCCCAAGGTTACCCACACAAATGTTCAGGAGGAGGGAGCAGAGGGTGGGGGAGGGGCCGATAACTGCAACTCTTTGGGAAAGCTCCCATCACTAAAGCTTGCAGTTCCTGCTGCTCATCCTCTGAACTCACTGCTGGTCTTTCTCATTGAGTAATGAATGAATAAGGCAATCTGATGGCCACACTACAGCCATAGCATTCCCAGATCAGCAAGGCACCTGTAGAATCTGCAGTGGCCATTCATTCACCAAATTAGGACCACCTTCATAAGGCATAATGCTAAATCAATTGAGAAGGTGTACACAGATCTAGAGGAAAAGAACTCAAACGTGAATGGGACTTGTGTGCATGGTCACTAAGGCACTGTGGATCACAACTGGTGAAGATTCAAGACCGGGACTCTATCCCTCAAATGTCCCATTAATTGACACAGTCCCTTTGAGATTGTTAAACAGATTGCTTCTATTTGCATTGAACAAGGTGTAGATGTTGAAAGCATCATTGCAGACATCTAATTATCTCTTTGAATAAATTAGTTAACATTACTAAAAAAAAAAAAAGAAAAAAGAAAAAATATCTCCCTTACTTAATGACGTTGCCCCCCTTCCCCCACCCTTTCATACCTTTAACAGTATGAAATCTCAACTTTCCCTCTGGAAAGAAGGAACAGGGTGGATGTCAGAGATGCATGAGGGTTAATGAAGTATGAACAGGGGCATCGAGATGTAGTGGAAAGAGCTTAGAAGACCTAGGTCCAAGCTCTGCCATTAAATAGTGGTATGATCCTCATCTACAAAATGGAAAAAAGTAATAGTTGTGCTACCTCAAAGGGCTGAGATAAGGCATGTAAAATATAAATGAGAGTGATGGTGAAGGGGCGGAGGAACTAAGTTCCCTGAGGCCAATGAGGGAAAAGACTCAGTGACACTTTGGCTGCTCTTCAGGAGTCTGCAGGTCAAGATAAGTGGGGCCTATCTCTGGGACTCAGATTGCTTGCCCCAAAATCCTGAGTGTGATGTGTTCTCCCTCACTACTGCATGCATAAACTACAACCCTGGGAGAAAAGAATTCCAGAGGGTGGATAACTAAATGGAGAGTCACAAAGCAACAAAAGCATTAGGTGTGGGGGGCAGTGGGCCACCCGTGAAGGAGGGATGGTAAGTCATTGGCACGTGGGGATGGGGATGATGTTGCAATTGCTGATAGCCACTGAATCTGTAACAAAGAGAAGGAGCCTGAGGTTAGGAACTGACTTTTGTGGGCCCCTGCAGGTGCAGTATCTGCCTACATGGAGGAACCAATCCAGCTTTTCACCTGAATTTGCTATGTTAAAGGCAACTTTGCAATGTTGGGGCCCATTGTAATGTAGGAGCATGCAGCTGCTGAGCCAATGTCAAGGACAGAGTGGGGAGTGAAACAAGGACATCATTCTCCTCATAATCATTCTCTACCAGAGAATCCATGAAATAAAGTAAGCTCATTTGTTCCTAGATACAGAGTTGGAAGGGACCTGAGGTCATCTGGGCCAACTCCCTCATTTTACAGAGAAGGAAACTGAGGCCCAGAGAGGTTAAATGATTTGCCCAAAGGCTCACAGGCAGTAAGTAACTAAGTAAATAATTTAAAAACTGAACAGAGGTTCTCTGACTCCAAATCCAGCATTCTTTCTACCACACTATGCATAAATAGAATCATAATCCCAAAGTTTGGCAGACTGCTGGCATTACTTGGAAAGGGAGATTCCTACTTTTGCTACAGGTCCCATTCACTACCACCTAAGGCATGCTGCAGAGTCCTGCTTTGGCCAGCTGCCTGGCTATCTATGCTGTCTTTCTAGTTCTACCCTGGCCCAGTTAGAGCCACCCCCCCACACCCACTCCACTCCCCAAACTGGTTATGGAAGAAAGAAAGAGGCTTTCTGTCTGGTTTGTTTGAAAGGATTTGTAGATCTTACCTTTGAAGCTGACCATAACGACAGTCTGGCCTACCCTCATCACCCACCTGTGCCGAGACTTGCCTGGAATTGGTTCTCCTTGCATTTCCAGCTTTACTTGACTTCCTCATCATCTTCCCTCCTCCTTCCGGCCTTACCTAACTCGGTTTTTCTTTCTTCATTTTTCTTCCCGATTCATTATATATCATGTTCTCACTCACAGTTCTCCTCTTGCTCTCTCTGTCCAATCTGTCTTGTATCTTATCTGATGCTACAGTTCTTCCCAAATGAAAATGTGTAACTCTATACATTTACACTGAATATACATAAAGTGGCTCCTATCTTTAAGTCAAAAGTGATACACAGAATCCATAAACAATTGGAAATCTTAAATTATTAAAACAGGAATCAGTGAAGCCTTTCCCCGCTCCCCAAACCACGCTCTAAAGAATGAAAAGAAGTTGGTCCCTTTCAAGCAGAACCTCGGGACTATTTGGGCCAAGTGTTTGTGAGCAGGGTCTGTGGCAAAACGGTGAATCTTTGGTGCTTCATTTTTACTTGTTCTTCCCCTCAAGTGAAAAGCTAGTGTGGTAACCTGCAGAAATATCTGAGATCTATAGTAGCAGTGGACCTTAGTGTCCTAAATATGAAGCTAGAAGAGACCTTACAGATCATTTTACAGATTTGGAAACTGAGGCCCAGGAAAGTTAAGTCACATAAGAAGTAACAGTAGAATCAGAGTCAGGATTTGAATCCGGGCTCTCTGACGCCAAGTGTGATGCTCCTTCCACTATCACCAATACAACCTCCAAGCAGGGAGAGATCCCAGGGAGAAGACAGAGTTAGAATGTGAAGCCCCAGAGCTGAAGAAACTGGTGGCCAATAGATGAGCCTCTTTACAGATCTGTTTTATTTAGGGAGAAGACTGGGGAAGAGGGTGTTTTAGTAGGTATGGCATGCCATGCCAAGGTGCTGTGTGCTCTGGATTTTGTGAGGCTCATTTGGGAGCCCCAGGCCAGCCAACGATCTCGTGTGAGTTGCAGGAGTGACTGAAGAAGCTACGTATTTTGGCTACCATCCCCTCCTTCACCCTCAGCTCAACATACTAATTTGTGTTTGTGAAGAGAAGAATAAAGACAAATTAGATTAATGAGAGTGGAGACAACCACAAAGTCTCATACATATGAGGTAGATCCTTTACAAGCCAAGCAACAACAGACTGGGCATTGGGATGTTTAGCTTCTAATCTCCTTCTTTCTATGTCTATCTCCTTACATTCTAGTCTCATTATTTGGAGAAGGCCTGGGATGAGAATAGCTCTTGGCATTTATCGCTCTTCCTCAGGGCAGATATCTTAGAGTTTGTAAAAAAGGAACCATCTTTCCCATAAGGAATGAGCCCAAAGGCTATCGTGGACCCTGTCTGGCCCCCAGATGTTCTCCTGGTACTGTCCCAGGAATGGCCATGATGGGACAACAGAGCATCCATTCCTAGAATCCATGGTCTGTGTAGAGAAAACATAGAGGAACACAGCTGGATCTAGTCTGGCCAATAAATACCATTATGTGACTGACCCAGGAGCTTACCGTTCCCTTGCTTCCATTCCAACACCTGCATTCTCCCCTAATGGAGACTTTCAGAAGGGAGAAAGGACCGATGTTTTTGCCCATTTGTTAGGAGATAAAATAATAACAAAGATAACTAAGTTGATCTCAAAGTACTTTAGGTAACAACGAAAACATGTCTAAAATGTTACAGACAATAAGTGCTACAAGTTCAGAAAAGGGAACAATCAGTGGATGTGCTTTAACAATATAGAAGAGCTTGGGAGGAAGTAAAAGTCTAGGTGGACCTTTGGCAAGCATTGGAGAAACATTTCAGGGCACTCAAGGCTCTTGGCCTGTCAATTCCCACTCACCTTTCCAACCTTATGCTTCCCCTTCATGAACTCTACATTAATGTCATACTGACCAACTAGCTGCCCCCTCAGCTCAACACTCCATTTCCTCCTTCCGTGCATTTGTCCCATGCCTGGACTGACTTCCATCCTCCTTCTACCTTTCAGGTCTCAGCTGAGAAGCTGCCATCTCTGTGAAGCTTCCTTGATCCTCTGTCCCACCTATCCCTCTAGGAGAATAATAGCTCTTTGAGGGCAGTCCCTTTTTGGAGTTTTCATCTTTGTACTCCCCATGCCTGACACTGAGGAGGTGTTTAATAAGTGCTTGGTGACCTTGAACAGGAATAGAAATCAGATTGGGAAGCCAGACATAAAACATAGCAGGCAACTGAGTGAAAATGATTCAGTCCCTCCCTGTGGAGCTTACATTTTATCTAGAGAAATACCATGTACCCACATAAGTAAATACAAGTCATGAAAATTGTTTGAATGGAGAGGACTTTGGCCTGAAAGAATGATGCTGGCATTGATGGAGATGACAACATGGGGATGGAAGCACGTGAGCATAAAATGGTTGTCTAGGTTTGGAGCACGAGGGGTTAAGAGGCAGACACACAAGAAGCAATCAGCAACAGACTAATCACAAGCAAAGGTCATACCAAAGTGGACTGAAGGTGAGAGTGGGGATTTGCATGGGAAAGATTTGTCTTTCAACTATCCCCTGGTCGCTATTTTGATACAGTGATGCCAAACCGCCTTTACTAGGTGCTCATCCAAAATTGCACTTAACTTACCCTATGGAACAAATCAGAGACATAAGCTCTGCCTGTGAAAAAGTTTGAATCTTTTATGGAACCTGCCCCTGCTATGTATTTTCTGGGACCCAATGAAACAAGCCTGATGGAAGCTTCTCTATTTGCTAAACTCAGTTATTCTTTGTGAATTTTTCTGTGCTGAATGAGGCCTGAATTCTGATTGAAGCCTTTCCCACAATCACTACATTCAAAAGGTTTCTCTCCAGTATGAATTCTCCAATGTTTAGTAAGATCAGAGCGCCCCCTGAAGGCTTTCCCACACTTAATACAAGCATAAGGCTTCTCTCCCGTATGAATACTCCGATGGTCATTAAGGCCGGAGCTCCATCTGAAGGTTTTCCCACAGTTTTCACATTTATAGGGCCTTACTTCACTATGAATTCTCTTATGTCTAATAAGGTCTGAGTTCACCCGGAAAGGTTTCCCACATTCGTTACATTCATAGGGTTTCTCTCCACTGTGGATCCTCTGGTGCTGACTAAGGCCTGAGCTCCCTGTGAAGGTTCTCCCACATTCCTTACATTCATAGGGCCTCTGTCCACTGTGAATCCTCTGGTGCTGACTAAGGCCTGAGCTCCCTGTGAAGCTTTTCCCACACTGTTTGCATTCATAGGGCTTTATTCCACTATGAATCCTCTGATGTTGAATCAGGTCTGATCTCCCTCGGAACTTTTTCCCACATTCATTACACTCATAGGGTTTCTCTCCTGTATGAATTCTGCGATGCTCAGCAAGGCCTGAGCTCTCTCTGAAGGTTTTCCCACATTCATTACATTCATAGGGCTTTTCCCCAGTGTGAATCCTTTGATGTTTAGTTAGTGATGAGTTCTGAATAAAGGCTTTCCCACATTCACTGCATTTGTAGGGTCTCTCTCCACTATGAATTCTTTGGTGTCGAATAAGGTGTGAGTTGCCTCCAAAGGCTTTCCCGCACTCGTCACATTTATATGACTTGTCCCTCCTTTGTTTGTGATTAAAGCCTGAATGCCAACTGCCATCTGTCCCCTGGCTATTGGGCTCCTCTTCATTACTAGTTACCTGCTGACTGAGAGCCACTGCATTTTGTCTGGGCCCCTGGTTAGAATCCCATCTCTGAGCTCTTTCTCCTACAAGATTGCTTTGATGTGTAACAACCTTGAGGTCCAGATTCTGGTACCCCTCCTGCTTCTTGAACTCCTGGCATTTCTCCTCTGCAGGACCATTCCTCTGGGTAAGAGTCACATGTCTGAGTCTGTTGCCTGCCGGGCTTCCCTGCTGCAGCTCTAACCTGCCTTCACAGTCAGAACCTTCTGGAAACTCTGGGCCCTGGACAATAGCCCTTGAGACTCCTGCTGACAACATCCTCTGTGATCCTATATCTTCATTAATTTCCTGCTCTGGATTACAGGGCTTATTTTTAGCCTCTGTCCCATCACCTGAAATGACAAAGAGAAAATAATAACCTGTTCCCTATATTATATCAGTTCTTCTTACATGGACTATTTGTGCCAGACCTGTGGTAGAGCCTCCCAAGTCTGATCAGCCACAGTCAGACACACCATACCTTGACACCAACATTGTTTGGGTGCTCTTTGAGAACAAAGGATAACAATCAACCATCCAATTCTTGTTACCACAACATTGTCTAGGCTCTGAGAGGTTGGCCAAGGAGATCTGTTTTTAGAGGGGGGGGAGTGACTCAGAGGAAGGATGGCAGCAAGGTCACTATGGCCCTGAAATAGCACATCTCTGCATTGTAAAAAATCTGAGGGAAGGATTTCTCTTTGGTGAGGAGGTGAAGTTAATTTAGGTTCATTTCCTTTTGTTAATGTATTCCTTTACTTATTGGTCCAGATCTGTGATTTCATTGGCATGGAAACTCCCTCCACCCATGCAGATCACCAACTCATTTGTAACTTACAGTTGCCATGGATACTGAGAGATTAAGTGGCTTGTTCATGGTTGCTAGCCTGGTAAGTGTTAGAGGCAGGCCTTGATCCCAGGTCTCCCCGACTCCAAAGCCAGCTCTCTATCCAGGATGCCATCCCACCCTGGTATTTATTTTGTGTGATGAAATGTAGACACTGCTACAAAAATTAAGGGACACCTGTCACTGAGTGTGATAAAACATGGTGCACAGTAGGAAGACGTTTACTAGTTGTGTAACACTGGGCAAGACATTTCACCTTGTTTGCCTCCCTTTTCTCCTCTGTAAAATGAGCTGGAGAAGGAAAGGGCAAACCACTCCAGTATCTCTGCCAAGAAAACCCCAAATAGGGTCATGAAGAGTCCAGACAGGACTGAAAAACAACTAAACAGCAACAACAGAGGGAAGGTGTATGGTACATAGAAGTCCCAGGGGCCAATTCTGGTCCAAAGTCCAAATACTGTGTTACCATGAACCAGTTGTTTGCTTGACATTATTCATCTAGAAAATGGAGATAATAATATTTGCACTGTCTCCCTTGTAGTAAAACTTTTTGTAAACATGAAGGTGCTGTGTAATTGCATTTATTCCTTGCCTTAGGACAAGGTCAGATGGGGTCTGTTTGAAGAAAAGAAACTACTTTTCACTAGGGTTGAAGCTGGGGACAGTTTCTTGCATCCTTCCCCCTTCTCTCCACTTACCCAACCTCCACCCTAGTTCAATCTCAAATCACGTCTCACCTGGACTATTGCAATAGAACCCTATCCTCAAATCCTCCCACTGCAACCCTAAATTGGTCTCCCTGCTTCCAGTGTCTCCCCTCCAATCCATCCTCCCTGCTCAAAAAATGTAAGTAGCTCCTATATAGTGCCTGGAGGATAAAATGCAAATTCCTTTGTCTAGCATCAAAAGCCCTTCCCAATCTGGCTCCAACCTCTTTTCAGATTGGTTGCCTATTACTTCCCCCTGCCCCACCACATACCTGATAGCAATCAAATGATAATCATTTATTAAGCACCTACTATGTGACACAAGTGCAGGTATACTAACAGAAAGACTGAAACAATCCCCACTCCCTGGGAGTTCACGTTCCAGCCAAACTGTCCTCCATGCTCTTGTATAGCACCTGGCCCCAAGCTCTCTGTCTGTCCTCATCAGACAGGACTTCCCCCTACCATACACACCTGCCTCCAGCCCTCCGCTGCACAGAGCCCAAGCACGATCTTCTCTATGATGCCTTTCTCCATCCCCTCCACTGGCAATGGCCCTCCCTCCTGACCTTGTGTGGAGTTACTTTATATTGGTACAGGGGATGAAGAGTTGACCTCTGAGTCAGGAAGACCTCGGCTCACATCCCACCTCTGACACATACATGCCCCTCAGTGCCCTGGGCAACTGGGTAATTCATTGCAGAGTGAGTGCCAGCCTGCATTAATAGGGTTTCCTTATCTTGGCATTCCCTACACTCATGAAGTCACAGGTCTAATTTATCTTGTATATATTTCTATACATCCTTGTTGCCTCCTCCGTTCAAATGAAGGCTTGTGAGTAGCAATTGTCTTTGTGTAGGTAGCCTTTGGCCTGGTACACAATAGGCATTTAATAAAAGAAAAGATCATGAGATGAGCATGAGAAACGAGCATGAGACTCATTGGAATGAAATGAATACCTCTCGGGAGTACTTGGAATGGACTGCCAAACCGAAAGGAATAAGGGAATGCCTTGAGGTGAGATTATGGGGGGCGGGGGGGGGGGGGGGAGAGCAGACCAAAGCAAAGGTTAAAGTGGACACAGATCAGAAAGAGAGCCATCGAAGCTGGGTGAAGGCAAAAGACGAGAGGAACACAAAAATAGAGCTGGGAGACTGGCAAGGGAGGCAAGATGAAGCCTAACAAAAATTGTTGAGAATACGGTTAGAAAGGTGGAGAGAAAAGGGGACAAGCAGTGAAGTGGAAGTGGAAAATTCTTGTCAGTGTCTAAGCAGGGGGAGAGCCACAGAAAGGCAGACTGCATGGGCCCTGCCTAGAGAGGCGCTAGTTCAGGCAGCCTCATTTCCAATCTCTTGGGTTAAAATAGGAGAGGAGGGGGACCAGCACCCTTGTGCCTTATTCATTTAGTACCTCTTCTCTAGAGTGAGGAATCAGTGATATCTTGCCCAGGCTGGGTATTTAGGGATGAAATTTATTGTACTACAAATTCAAGGGTTCAAGGGGGGGTGGGAAGGAGGCACACCTTCAGAGATAAAACAAAGGCCGAGCCAGTGCCAAGGAAGCTTAAATAGGTGGGTGCCATAGGCACAGTATCACCTGTCCCAGGACACATGTCCTTTGGGGAACTGTGACAGACATAGACTGAGGCACCAGAGGTCCAGCTGGCCATGGGCATGTATCCTTGGGTCACTGAATAAAAGTGAAGTCAAGGGCACATAAGGAGGTGGGTTGCTAGTCCACTCTGAGGGCAGCACAGAGTACCTCTCTATAAATTTCAGAAGTGAGAGAGATAGATTACAACACTCCCCTTTGTAAAAATGGAATAACAGGCCTGCCCCCCAGAGCAGTGCCAGAGCTAGCCCTAGAGCCCGGGTTTACCCCCACATCCTCATAATGGTGCTTCTCTTCCTTTCACTTGTTTCTAATCATTCTCCCCCTCCCCCCCACTCCCCCACCCCCAGCTTCAGCATCATGTCCATCTAGGTTTCTGTCTATTGTTTAGCTGTAGGGTCCCTGGTTCAACATTTACAAATCAACATTCACAAATACATTCACTTCCAGAAGACACTGAGAAATCAGTCTCCTGCTCACAAAAGGGGATCCACCCAAAGCACACAATACACTGGGCAAGAGGCCTGCTTCTCACAAGAGCTCCCCATTCAAAATACCCAAGCTATCTGGCACCTTAGCACCCCCCTCCCAGCAGGACTTCTCCCCCTGACTCTGATGTGCAGTGGGCCCGGCCTATTCCTCACTTACCCGGTCGGCAGCAGCAGCTCCGTTTCTTTTTCTTCCTAGGTCTCTGCAGAGCTGAGCTCCATGTCATCTCCCCGTGTTCCAGATGCACAATCATTGCTGGCTTGTTAAGAAGGACTCCTGTTCATAGGGAAGCAAGCAGCACCGTCTAGTTTAGGTGAGGGATACTGAACCATCCCAGAGATCAGTGCCTGTCCAGAATACTCAGGGGGCAAAGGGGGGGGCGGAGGAACTATCCAGAATGGTTCTCTTACAGGAAAGCCCAGAGGGAGATTCGGAGCTGAGGGAAGAGAGGCAGTATTTCCCTCTCCTAGAATTTAAGCTAGCATTCCAATAGAGGAATCTCATGGCAAAGCTGTTTAACTCCTTAAAGGCAAGGTTCTATTGGCCCTTCATCAAAGAACAAGACGACAGGTCATTTCTCTTGGCTCTGCTGAAGCAATGACTAACAATGAAATATCCCAAGGACTCCATCAATTCAGAGAGCTAGAAGGAACTCTTCATTTTACAATGGAAGAAACTGAGGCACAGAGAGATTAAACAGCTTGCCAAAGGTCAAACAGGTATAAGTGGCAGGATCTGTACTCAGTCCTTTGATTCCAAAGCCTGTGCTCTTTCTGCTGTAGTCTGCTACCTCTCTGTTCGGATTTCATGTTAATAACTTATTCTCCTAAACAGGTATGCTATGGTCACCCACCAAGTCCAGTGTGCAGCAGCCACCTCCCCCCAAGTCGGATGTGCAGCAGTTACCTCCCAAGTCAGGTGTGCAGCAGCCACCCCCCCCCCCAAAGCTGGGTGTTCAGTAGCCGCCACTCCCCCCCCCAAAGCTGGGCACACACACCCTCCTACATCTGCCTCAAAGAGTCCTCCACTTCCCTTAAGATGAAGCTTGGGCATCATTTTCATCTGTATGAAGCCTTTTCTGATTCTCCCCAACTGTTATTTTATACCCACTCTGTAAACACTTAAATGTATACCAGTTATCTCCCCCCATTAGGACATAAGCACCTTATGAGTAGGCATTGTCTTATTCTTTGTATTTGGGTCCTGACACAGAGTTGGTGCTTAAGAAATGATTGCCATTTGATAAATCTTTGCATGATCTTATGACAGTGAATGCATTACAATAATCATATGTTACTTTTATAGTATGTTTAAGATTTGGAGGGGGTTATACAAACTGTAATAAAGTCTTAATTTTATTAGAATAAAATATGATCTGAAAAAATTACTTAGATGTTTTATTGAAAGTGGGATGGCAGGCTCAATGGTGCTTATTAGAAAGGGGCGGGTCATTGTCACATAGTTTGGAAACTATTGACATGAGGTAAAACTTGTTAGTTATGAGAGCTCTTATGCGGGAGTGGCGCATAGCATATGAGGTGCACATTGCGGGAGTGGCGCAGAACATATGAGGCGCACATGTGCGGGAGTGGCGCAGAACATATGAGGCACATATGAGGTGCCTCCCAATCCCAAGGTTCTGGGATTCTGGGGCCATGAATTATATAGCATTGGTTAGAATGAACTAAAGAAAGTCATTTCCAAAAGGTGCTTGGTCCCTTCTTCAGCTTTCTGGGCTTCCTTTCTTTGTTCTAAAATTCCTTCTCAAGCCTCAAGACTTCAAGTCCCTAGTTTGAATCTATCAGGAAAAATATTTTCACTTTATTCATGCCTTTGAGGATTTTGTAAAGTTCTATCCTATCCTTTTATCAAACTGTGCCTTTCCAAACTCAAAGGATATGTGTTTTTAGGTCTTCCTGATCATTTTTTAAAAAATGTTTATATATTTCATTTTTTCTTTTTTTATTAATTTTTCAATTAACAAGCATTACTTTTCTTTCCTTCCCATCTACCCCCACTCCACCCCTCATCAAAAAAAAAACCCCTTATAACAAATAAACACAGTTAAACAAGACAAATTCCCACATTGTTCCTAACCCCAAATGGGTGTATCATTCTGCACCTCAAGCCCATCACCTCTCCATCAAAAGATGAGTGGTTGCCTTCCTCTAGAATTAAGGTTAATCATTGCATTGATACTTAAGTCTTTCAAAATCATAAGTTTCACCAATATTGTTGTTAGTGTATAAATTGTTCTCCTGGTTCACCTCACTTCACTCTGCAGCAGTTCATATGACTCCTTCCAGATTTCCTTGAAGCTGTCTCTTCCATCCTTTCTTATAACACAACAGTATCTCATTCCATTCCTATGCCGTAAGTTGTTCAGCCATTCCCCAGGTGATGGACACCTCTTAGCTTCCAGATCTTTGCAACCAGAAAGAGCTGCTTCCAACATTGGACCCACCTCTTGGATCCACCTTTCCCTCTATTTCTCTTTTTTTTTCATCAACTTTACCATGCTGATGAGCGTGCATTGGAGCCTCAGAGATGCTTTCATTTGCATTTCTTTGTTAGTGATTTAGAGCATTTTTTTTTTGATATGGCTATAGACAATTTGGGCTTCTTCCCTTGAGAACTGCCTGTTATACCCTTTGACCTCATGTTAGTTGCAGAATGACTGTCGGTAAAATTATTTAAATAGCTTCCAGGAAGTTAGCTTTAATATTGTCTTTGTAACCCAACATGGTGTGTCTAAACCTAGAAGACCGTTTTCAGTGCTCCTCAGCAAACCTCAAGAAAGAAATAACAAAGCTGGAGAATGTCCAGAGAAGGGCAATGAAGGAGACAGGGCCGAGTTCAGATTAATTGCAGTGATTGATCTTGATTCTGGAGGGCAGAGAGTGAAACATTCCCCTCTTGTCAATACAGAGTGGGGGCTGGGCACCCTTTCAGACACTCTTGGTGGATTTGGCTTAACTCTTTTTAATATGTTACAATGGAGGGAGCACTCAACTGGGAAATGACTTGTATAAAACAAAAGCCATCAATCACTTTTTAATTATCAGAGACAAAGGTCCCGTTTCCAAGATACATAAGGGAATTAATTCACATCTATGAGAAGTTTAATAATGGCTTTTCCAGCCATCATGGAAAGCAATCTGGAACTATGTCCAAAAAGTCACATACCTTTTGACCCTGCCCCATACATATCCTGTGCATACACTTTGACCCAGCTATACCCTAAAGAGAGCAAAGGAAGAATAAAAGACAGGTCCTATATATACAAAAGTATAGCACCTTCTTCGAATGCCAAAGACCTGGAAACTAGATAGGTGCCCATCAACTGGGGAATGGCTGAACAAATGATGCTCTATAAATGTAACAGAATACTATTGCTCAGCACAGTGCCTGGCACATAGTAGGCCCTTAATGAATGCTTACTGATCTACCATTGTGCTTTAAGACATGGAAGAGATTTGGGGCAGCTAGGTGGTGCAGTGGATACAGCACCAGCCCTGAAGTCAGGAGGACTCAGACCAAACACTTGACACTTACTAGCTGTGTGACCCTGGGCAAGTCACTTAACCCCAATTGCCTAACAAAACAAAACAAAAAAAGAAATGGAAGAGATGGTTTCAGAGAAACTTGGGAAGACTGATGCATAATGAAGTGAGCTGAACAAAAAGAATTTATGTAATAATGTATACAATATACAAGAATAATTTATATAATAATTTATAATGTACATTACATATTATATGCAATATTTTACATAATTTACAATATACATTGTAAAAACATACAAGTTTGAAAAACTTAAGGACTCTGATCAATGCCATGACTAACCATGATTTCAGAGGACTCATAATGAAGCCTGCTGTCCCCTTCCCAAAAGAAAAGTGATGGAAAAAATAGGTAGAACAAGACACACATGTTTGGATATGGTCAACATGGGAATTGATTTCATTTGACTGTGCATATTTGTTACAAGGGATTTGTTTCTCTTTTTTTAATAAATGTGGGTGAGGGGGTGCTTGTTCATTGAAAAAAATAAATTTTTAAAATAACATGAAATTATAATAATTTGTAATTCTCTAACAAATGCATTTAATTTTTATGATTTTTCCAAAAGAAAATTCCCATGGACTTTTTCAGTTGGCAAGGAGGGATTGCTGCCTGCCTCCCAACAGAAGGTACATCCCTAACCTTCAGAGACACATAGACTTGAAGGTAGCTTGCCATAGTCACCCACAAGCAATCCTGAGGAGCTCGTGAAAGAGCTAGACCACTGAGATTTTTTTGGTCATCTTCATCTAACAAAATAAGTGCCCTCTTCTCTACATAATATACCTACACGGCTGGGCAGAGATGCGCAACTTACTGAGCAGCTCAAGAGCTCATCTGAATACTGGGAATTTACCCTGAAGACAAAGGGATGATTTTTTTTAAAGGTACATTATTTGTGAACTGTTGTTCTTACTAAATCCAGTTATTACAAACTGAGGTAACACATGTTCTTTTTTTTTTTTTTTTGCTTTTTTAGTGAGGCAATCAGAGTTAAGTGACTTGCCCAGGGTCACACAGCTTGAGTAACACTTGTTCTTTAAAGACAGAAATATTTTAAAATACAATTGAGAGAATTAAAAAAAAAAACCTGATTTGTCTGGCTCAGTTTCAAACATGATGAAAAGAAATGCTAGCTTGCAGTCAGGAAGACGAGTTCAAATCTTGGCTCAGAAACTTACTAGCCGTTTACCTCTGGGCCATTTAACCCCTCTCTGCCTTTGTTTCTAAATGTGTCAAATGAGACTAATATATGAGGATCAAATGAGATCCTAATTGTAAAATGCTTTACAAGCTTCAAAGCACTATCTCAATGTTGCTATTATTATCAGCAGTTGCCTTTATTAACGAATGAAACCAAGGACAGATTTAAATCCTAGGGTAGGGGTAGAAAAAGGAGCAAAGTGGCACTCTTACCCACTGAGACTGCATTGTTGTAATTCTCCAGCATCACCTCCCTGTACAGTGTCTTCTGATCAGAGTTCAGTCGCTCCCATTCCTTCTTCACAAGATACACTGCCACATCCTCAAACTTCACACAATTCTAAAACAACAGGGGGTTGATTGTTTGTTTTTAATCGTTCTGGAGCATGTACAGCAGTGATTATGAGGGCTAAGAATACAATGGGCCTGCCACCATAGTAGGAATAGCGGGAATCCTTGGGGGGGGGGGGCTGCTTCTGTGAAACCTTAGACAAATCATAACCTCCTCAGACCCATTCCCCTACAACAAAATGGGAGCAGGAATATCTGAAAATTTTAAAAGTCAGATTGTATCTTTCAGGAAGGTATTTTTCATATTAGATGCCTGGGAGATGCCTGGGAGAAAGGAAACAGACTGGAGGAAAGAAGATAGGATTCAAGGATGTTGCTTGATACAGTGAGAGTGGAAGGGACAGACCAGTAATTCTTAGGGAAAGAGCCATGGATGGCCACATTCAATCATCAGAGATAAGGATCCCACTCAGTAAGGACAAAGTCAACTAGAGCTCACCTGAGACCTGACTGTCAGGTCAGTAGCTGCTATCACTTCTTCTCCCATGTTGCCTCTGAGAGGTGGGAAGAAGAGCAACCTAATACATATAAGTGGAAATGGAAGAGAAAGCCATGAGTGAGTTCAGGCAAATCCTATGGATTCATCACTGGGATCTCCCTTTGCCACCCACAGATGACCCCAGAGGAACCTGAGAATAGTTCCTCTGTCATATCTCAAAGATCAATTTACTAAATATGTAAATCTATTTTTAAAATGTGGTGTTCTCCCCACACAGTGTGAGGAGAGCTAGTCCACAGGTACAAATGGAGGGAGGGAAGGTGGAGATAGGAGGAGTACTGGGTCATTGACTGGGTCATTCCTCCAAAACACATTCCTGTGTTTTGAATCTAGAATATCCCCTTCTGCCTCCTCAACCACCTGTTTTATTTAGGGAAATCTAAGCTTGGTGTTGCCAGAACAACTCTCCAATTTTCTTCAACAATAATGGACATTATTGTTCACCTCCTGGGCCCCACCACCCCCAAAAACCTGTGAGCCCAGGATCAATAGGCTAACCCTTAAAAAAGCTCTGTAGTAGACCCCGGGATGGAATATTCCTGTAATCCTATTGACTGGGGGTGTCCTGGGGAGGGAATGTGTCTGATGAGGCATCAGACGTGACAAACATGGGGCTTGTTGGCAGCAGATGACTCACAACACTCCTGAGTTCAGCCTAAACCAGAATAAAATATAATTGGGAAACATTTAATAAAATAAATGAAAATACAATAAAATATAGATAATATTACACTTTAAAACTAAGTCAATAAGCCCCCCAGGGATCCTCATCTAATGATTAGTGGCCCCTGATTCTATAAATTTGACCCTACTGCCTTAGGAGACCCCAGGCACAACTGTTGTTCAGACTACCAACCAGATGTAGCATGTTGTAATGCAAACATCAGTGAATCTGGAGTCAGAGGGACTAGGTGTGAATCCCACTTTTGCTACTTGCTAACTGTGGGACTTTAGGCAAAGCCTTTTCCCTCTCAGGGCCTTTCTTTACTCCTTTATAAAAAGGGAAGGGGTGTCAGCCTGCTTATATGGCCTATGAGGCTCTTTCTGTCCAGCTCTAAACCCCAGGGTCTAGATTTACAGAAGTGGGAAACTTGTGGCCTCGAGGCCATACGTGGCCTTCTAGGTCCTAGGGTGCGGCCTTTTGACTGAGTCCAAGTTTTACAGAACAAATCCTTTTAATGAGGGGATTTGTTCTGTGAAGTTGGGATTCAATCAAAAGGCCACACTTATGAACCTAGAGGGCTACATGTGGCCTTGAGGCCGCAGGTTACCCACCTCCAGTAGAAGGTTGGTTGGTGTAAATCCGGAACGGCCACATGGCATACAGAGGAAACTGCTCTTGTCCATAACCCTCTGGTAGACTTGGCTCCCATTTCACAGAAGGGCAAACTGAGGCTAGGGGAGAAGGGGTTTATCCTGGATGAGAGAGTTAGAACCCGGGTTCCTGACTCATAGACTAAGGCTATTCCCTCGGGGCGGGAGGGGGAGAAAAAGATCACGAGGGAAAGCGGGGAAGAGGAACGGGAAGGGCAGGATTAAGATGAGGACGAAGAAGCAGCAGGAATAGCGGTTAAAACGGGAGCTGTCCATCCCAAAGGCCGACTGACCAACCCCACCACCCAACCAAGTGGCCCCACCTCCCGACTGACCGGCCCCACCTCCAGACTGACCAGCCCCACCTTCCGCTGGGAAAGAGTTGGTGGGGCGGAGTGCTGGGGCGTTCCGCCGGCAGCGCAGGGGGCGGGGCCTCCCATAGCGCAATGGGGAGGGGGCCCTAGAGTGGCGCAGAGAGCTGGAGGGTGGGGGGTGAGAGGGCTTCTGTGGCGCGGGGGGGGGGGGCGGAGCCTCGTGTGGCACGGGAGGGCCTCCTGTGGAGCAGAGAGGGCGGGGGGGGGCTCTCGCGTGGTGCAGAGAGGGCGGGGGGCTGGGGATCGGTCGTGTGGCGCTGGGGGCGGGGCTTCTCGTGGTGCAGGGGGCTGGGTGCAGGGGCGGTGCTCCCGAGCTGAATCAGATCCTGCTCCCGAGCTCATCGCCTTCCCTGGGAGCTTTTTTCCCGCGAACCCCTTTCCCCCACAATCTCCGAGCATGGATTCTCCCTCCCCACTGACAGAAAAACAAACAAATGAACAAACAAAAAAACAGTGGAGAGGGAGGGTAGCCAAGTGTACCCTCCCTGAGATGTCCGCCAGGGGCCTGCATCCCTCTATCCCTGGGTCAGGCGTCCCTAGAACTTTTGGGAGGCACTCGCACATCGCCTCCCTGGCTGAAGAGCCTGGGCAAGGCTGGGGAGAGGAAGGGAGCAGAGGGAGACCATGACAGAGGAGCGCCTGGAGGGTAGGCAAGGGTGAGGTCGAGGACTAGTTATTTTCCTCGAAGTGACCCTTGAGGTAACAAGGTGGCCCAATAGATAGAGCTCTAATCCTGGAGTCAGGAAAACCTGAGTTCAAATTCGACTTCTTGTTAGCTGTGTGACCTTGGGCAAATCACTGAATCTCTGCCTCACGTTTCCTTATCTGTAAAATGGGAATCATAGCACATACCAAGGATCAAAGGAGATAATAATTGTTAAGCCCTTAGAACAGTTCCTGGCATATAGGGACTCTCTAAATTTTTATTCCCTTCCCAAATCGTTATTTTTTCCCTGGGCTCAAAAAAGATCCTAGTTCTGGATAGTGCCCTCTTCCAGGGAGGGTGCCTCTCTCAAAATTATGAATCCTATTTGGGTGGATCTCCAATTCTTTGGTGGGGCGCAGGGGCGGGGTGTGTGTACCATTTCTCATCTCCCTTGCCAAATACTGCACTTAGCTGACTCCCTTCACTCCTTACCCACTTGCCACTT